GGGAGTGCTCCAGGGCAGCATATTATCTGTCACACTCTTTAACATGAAAATAAATGACATCTTCAAAAACATTAGCAGCAGAACAGATTGTGCACTGTATGTGGATGACTTCCTGATTTGCTATAGATCAAAAAACAGGAATCACAATAGAAAGACAGCTCCAAATATGCCTTAAGTTGAACAAATGGACCACACAGAACAGACTAAAATTTTCCAAATAAAAAAACAAAATGTGTCCACTTTTGCAACTAATGCAAATTCCACCTTGACCTGGTACTGAAACTTGACCACACTGAAATCCCAGTTGTAGATGAATATAAATACTTAGGAATCATTTTTGACCATAAATTCACCTTTATTTTCCATATCAGGTACCTAAGGTCCAAATGTGATAAAACCATGCAATTAGTTAGAGCCATAGCACATACTGACTGGGGAGCAAATGATATTAAGAGAGAATGTTATTAAGACTATATCACTCTCTAGTCGGATCAAAACTGGACTATGGCCACTTCATATATGTAGCAGCCAGGAAATCATACTTGAAAGAACTAGATACCATATACCACCAAAGTCTTAGATTAATCCTTGGAGTATATAACACCTCTCCTGCTGAAAGCTGTACAGAAACGAATGAACCATCTCTAAAACTAAGACGTGAAAAACTCGCTCTTCAATACTACCTAAAACTACCTTCCTGCCTTCTAAACCCAGCTTAAAATGATACTTTCCAATGACAGTACACTGAACTTTTCCAGCAAAGGAAAAATTCTCTCAAGCCATTCAGTCTACATATGAAAAAGATTATACTAGAGAACCAAATAATCATAACACAGATCCATAGATCAATTCTATCAATTACACCTCCCTGGATGATCAGCTAACCTAAAATAATACTGTTCTAGTAAGATACAAGATACCCTAAATTCAAAACAATTGTCTACCAAGCTAAAATACTCAGTATCAAAAATAAACACCCAGACCACCTTTTATTTATTTATTTATTTATTTATACAGCAGCAAAAAATGACATTAAAGTCAGATGTGTGGCCATCCTAAAAAATAATAAGCAACGGAAAAGAATTACAAACATAGCTTCAATATATAGTGCCGAAACAATTGCTATTAATCTGGCACTTGACATAATGACCACAAACCCTTACAATAAATTCATAATTTTCTCAGATTCTTTATCTGTGCTAACTGCTTTGAAAAATAAATGAGCTAGTGACTCTTTAACAATCCAGGTGCTGGATAGAATCCATCAACTGTCCCCCCCCCAAAAAAAAAGAAATAATCTTGTTGGATACCAAGCCATCTTGGCATACATAGAAATGATAAGACTCTCTCAGAAGCAATGAAAGACAGAATAGCAAACACAAAAATACTACACACTGATCATAGGAATGTTGTCAATAAAATTATCACAAATAAATGGCAAAATCAATGGGATACCCTCACTAATAACAAACTTCTGAACATTAAACCCACCATTGGAGAATGGAACACAAAATACAATAACGATAAAAGAGAACATGTAGTGCTGACTCATCTTCATATAGGTTGCCCCCTACATCACCCGTCCTAGAGGGTGTACTATATGCCAAAACAGATTTATGGTAAAACATGTATTGCTGGACTGTGTAGACTTTGACCTAGCTTGAGCAAAACATTACAAAGACAACAATTTGAAAGACCTTTTCAACAAAACAAAACCATTCAAGATATTACATTTTCTAAGAGAAGTGGGATTGTATTAAAAAATATGAGTAACTAAATAACGATATTCCAACTATATGCACCTACAACATTTAGTTCTGTACCAAACTTATTCTACAAGGAATGATTATTTTACTTCCATGAACATTAAATGACACATTGAGGTTCATGTGCTGTAAAACAAAGCCAACATCTCCATCTGCATATATAACCCTGTGTTTGTTACTTACAAAATCTCCATTGTTTGCTCACCTAGTTTCACAAAGGCCTAAAATATTAACATTTAATTTATTCATTTTTTGCTTTGTATTATCTAAGTGGCAACATTAATTTAGTATTTGGACATTATATATCTCTAAAACTATTTTTTGTTTGATGTGAACAGTTGTTGGATGACAGTCCAGTCATAGCTGTTGCCCATGTTCCTGCTTACTGAGCGAGGAACTAACCCTAATAGACTTAACCCCTTTCATACTGTTATCTTTCATAATGATAGTGTTGATAGTCATAAATATTCTTGGGATGGAGAGATAGTGAAACAGTTGGCAAATCTGGACTGGGAACACTTAATGAAAGAGAAAAATGTTGCATGATTAGATAGTAAACAACATCTGGTTTCAAGAACACCCATGATGTATATGCACATGGAGAAGCCAAGGAGGAGAAACAAAAAAAAACAAATCGACTATATAACTATCAACAAGAGATTCTGGAATGGTCCAGTGATATGTAAACTTAGAATAAAACTATGGAAATTGAAAAGGGCCAAGGTAGCACCGAAAATTGCAATGTGGCAGACTACTGAATGATCTGAATTTGAAGAAAGGGTGTTTCAATAACTTGGATTGACTTTAAATGTGAATTAACTTTAAGTGTCTAATGACTTTTTTTTTCTTTTTCTTTTTCTTTCAGATTTAACAACTTTGGCAATTTCAACCATGGAAAGATTAACAATCAAACAACGTGTTAAAGTTTCAAGAGTGCAATTGGAAAAATTGTTCATAAATTCAAAGTGGGTCGGTGGCAGATGTGAAAACACCATTGCATGCTCATTTATGCTGTTCAGCTGAAAACTTTGCAGTGCACGAGAATCTGGCTGAAAATCCAGACACCTCTATTCGTCATCGCATGCAGGAATTGGACCTCTCCACAACAATGTTACATCGTTTTCAATTGCACTCTCGGTTGGTCGATTATGTTAACCAAAAAACTCACGAAGTGCACGAAATGCATTTGTTTGAACATCCATTTTTGTAATAGGCTTTGATGACTTTAACACATTGTTTGATTGGCAATTTCATCCATGGAAGGATTAACAAAGACTTAAGTTGTTAAATCTGAAAGAAAAAGATTAAAATCATTAGATGCATAAAGAAATTAGGAATAAATGCAGACAGGCAAGAGAAGAATGGCTTAATAATAAGTATGCAGAAATAGAAAGAATATCACAAATAAAGCTGATGTACGTAAATGAATAAGAGTACTAACAAGACAAAAGACATGCTCTTTAACAGAACTCATCAAGAAAATATTTCAGAGATGACATTGGAGAACTCTTCCATGACAAAAGAGGACAACCTGTAATACACAGAAATATCAAAAGACCAGAAATGTTAGTCTGTAGTTAACTTAGCACTGGCCAAATTGAACAGGGACAAAGCATCAGGATCAGATGGAATTTTAATAGAGATGTTGGCTGCTTTGTGATATTGGGATTGACAAAATTAGACATGATAAATGAAATTTATGACAATGATGTTATACCAAGAAGACCTAAGTAGATCCATTTTCATAACTCTGCTTAAGAGGACTGACAAACTCCATTGGACAATTGGCCTAATGAGCAACATGACAGAACTCAACATCTAAATTTTGATTAATAGAGTGCACAATAGAATTAAACTGGAAATAGAACAAGAACAGTGCAGTTTTGTTAAAGATACTGGAACAAGGAATGTAATATTTATGCTCAGGATGATATGAGAAAAATACAACTGCAAAAGGAAGTACAGCTATATTTTATAGGTTATGCAAAAACATTTGATAAATTGCATCACAATGAACTGTTTGAACTCTGAGATAAACTTGATTTATTTGAGAAGAATATTAGAATAATCCAGAACTTAAACTGGGAGCAAACTTCCTGTATATGGATAGAAAACAAATTCAGTAAATGCACAGAAAAAGAAAGGAGCCTAAGACAAGGATGTGTCTTCTCACCAGACTTATTTGATCTTTACAGTGAAGCATTCCTAAGAGAATTAGACATCCTACCAGGATTCATTATTGGTGGCCAGTCTTAACAATATTAGATATGCAGATGATGCTATTGATAGCAGACATAGAAAGGAAACTACAGGAACTCTTACAGAAGATAGTAAAGGGAAGAACTGAATGTCAATTGTAAGAAGTCAGTGTATGGTTGCCAACAAAAGGAACAATACAAATTAAGAGGCACCAAAATCAAACAAAGTACAAAAATTTAAATATCTGGGAAGTGTTTTAATAAAGGATGGAAAATGCAACCCTTAACTCTGAAAGCATATTGTGATAGGGGGAAAGATGCTTTCCAAAATCTAAGTAAGGCATTAAGAAACAAGAAAAGAGTATTGAACTGTTATGTAATATCAGTCCTCTTATATGACAGTGAATGTTGGACAAACTTGAAGAGACTTGATGCAACAGAAGGATGCTGAGAATATCATAGACTAAACAAGTGAGCAATGATTAATTTTTAGAGAAAATGGAAACAAAATGGACACTTAGTATCAGAAAGAGACAGCTGAAGTTTCTAGGGCATATAATGAGGAAAGAGGGCTTAGAAAATTTGACACTCACATGATCTATTTGAAGGCAAGAGGGGACAGTAAGCAGTATATAACCTGCATGTGTAAATGGTTGGCAGAATAGAGATTAGGAGAGATAACATATATAGTTATATTTTTTGGAAGCTAATTGTACTGGTTAATCCTTAAGCAAGATTTTTATTTTTGAACAGCTATGGTTTAATCAATGCTACTCTGTCATTAACAGATTTATATTAAAATCTGTATTGTTCATAAAACTAAGTTAATTTATCTTACCACTTAATCTATGACATTAAGCTTGTAATTAATCAACTTTTGATTAATTATAATTAGCATTCCATTATTCAGTTGCTTTACATATCTTATTTGAAGTTATTTCTTCAAAAAAAGTTCAAATTAAAAAAAAATTTTTTTGTTTATAACTGTTTTTGTCAATTTCTAGTCATTCACTTTTTATTAATGTATCATCTGTAGGTTCCTAAACCAAAGCCACTGACAAAATGGGAACAATATGCCAAAACAAAAGGTATTACAAAGAAAAAGAAAAGCCGGATGGTATGGAGTGATGAGGCTAAAGTAAGTGATTCTTTCTTCTTTTGTTCTTGATGTTCTTTACAAGCACAATAACTTCTTCTTTTGTTTTTCTTTCTTCTTTCTTCTTTCTTCTTTTGTTTTTCTTTCTTCTTTTGTTCTTCTTCTTCTTTTGTTCTTCTTCTTCTTTTGTTCTTCTTCTTCTTTTGTTCTTCTTCTTCTTTTGTTCTTCTTCTTCTTTTGTTCTTCTTTCTTCTTCTTTTGTTCTTCTTTCTTCTTCTTTTGTTCTTCTTTCTTCTTCTTTTGTTCTTCTTTCTTCTTCTTTTGTTCTTCTTTTGTTCTTCTTTCTTCTTCTTTTGTTCTTCTTTTGTTCTTCTTTTTTCTTCTTTTGTTCTTCTTTTGTTCTTCTTTTGTTCTTCTTTTGTTCTTCTTTTGTTCTTCTTTTGTTCTTCTTTTGTTCTTCTTTTGTTCTTCTTTTGTTCTTCTTTTGTTCTTCTTTTGTTCTTCTTTTCTTCTTCTTTTCTTCTTCTTTGTTTTTCTTTCTTCTTTCTTCTTTTGTTTTTCTTCTTTTGTTTTTCTTTCTTCTTTCTTCTTTTGTTTTTCTTTTGTTTTTCTTTCTTCTTTTGTTTTTCTTTTGTTTTTCTTTCTTCTTTCTTCTTTTGTTCTTCTTCTTCTTTTGTTCTTCTTTTGTTCTTCTTCTTCTTTTGTTCTTCTTTTGTTCTTCCTTCTTCTTTTGTTCTTCTTTTGTTCTTCTTTCTTCTTTTGTTCTTCTTTCTTCTTCTTTCTTCTTCTTTGTTCTTCTTTCTTCTTCTTTTCTTCTTCTTTTGTTCTTCTTTTGTTCTTCTTTTGTTCTTCTTTCTTCTTCTTTGTTCTTCTTTCTTCTTCTTTTCTTCTTCTTTTGTTCTTCTTTTGTTCTTCTTTTGTTCTTCTTTCTTCTTCTTTGTTCTTCTTTCTTCTTCTTCTTCTTTTGTTCTTCTTTTATGGTTGATGAAAAAGCAAGTTATTTTATTCTATTTTTTTTTAATATTAGTTTTTTTTATTTTATATATTTATTTTTAAGTTATAAATCATAAACTTCTATTTTTGGAAGGAGGTGCTGCAAGCATCGATTAGTTCGTGAAAAGGCTGCACTTGTAAGTAGATGAATCAGTAGAGTTCATGGTAATCATAAAGAGAAAAGAGAAATTGACTTTAGTGACAGGCCAGTTACTGTTGGAAATGTGAATAAGGTCAGGCCAATGATCTCATTACAACTAACAGAAGAATCGGTATTGAAAAACCTTGTGAAAGACTTTAAATGAAACATGATAGTGCCTGTAGTTGGCTGCTTGAAAGTATGTTCGAAGTAATACCAATACTCCATGAAGAAGCAGAAGGTGGAGGGCACTTGCAGAAGATCTCTTGCTGCATAGCACTGATAGTACCCAGAGGACAGTAGTTTTTCGATTATGTTGAGAGAAAAAAAGCATCCAAGAAGTTTGGCATCCATACTCTCAATCAGAAACGGAATATGACAATTGAAAAAGTAGGAAACTGTTGAGGACTAAAATTGGGATCTTGAGATGTTTATTAATTTTGGGATGCATTGTGGGCTTCAGCTATTAAATCCATTCTAATTGAAGTTGAACAGGCCTTAAATTTTTTTCTGACCTTCATGCATGTGAGTCTACATATTTACATTGTCTTTAACACACTTGGTACATTAGTTCTTCAGTTTCTTTACAATTTTTGATGTTTTGATCTTTGAAATACTGGTTTTGGAGAAATAGGTTGTGGTGATAACTTTGCAGCACATCCTTTTTATTGTTTATTTGCATATTTTAGCAGAAGAAGGCTGAAATAGCTGGTTGTGTGGCAAAGAAAAAAAAAGTAAATTCAGAAATCTCTGACAAAGCTTTAATAAAAATGAAACATTAATATCTGTTTCCTATTTGTTTTTTTATCCTGTCTGTTTCTGATCCATATTTGATCTTTAATTTGTGTGTGTATAATATATATATATATATATATATATATATGGTTTAACTTATTGATTTAATCATACATTATCTCCCCTTAACTTTTTGTTAAATTAAAAAAAAAAGGAAAAGTTTATGCTACGCTTTAAGAATGAAATAGAAAACATTTCTTTTATAAAAATCTTACAAATGTACTTATATTGATATATGAAAAATATACACACTGTCTGGATTTTCTGAGGACTGGAAAAAATTATGCATGTGGAGTGGGTTGTGGGGGCTATGTCCATACAGGTTTTCAATCTTCTAAACTTAAGTGTTTTTTTTTTTTTTTTTTTTTTTCCTATCTCTCTCCTTCCATTTGCTTCAAGTATGATAAAGAAGTGAAAATTTGTGAACATTAGAAACCTGGAAATTTTGAGCCTTTGTTTATTGTTTAGATCGATAGAATTTCTGTAGTTGTAGGTATATTGCATGCACACACACAAAACTTTTGACATATCAAGACATCCAATTATAATTAGCAAAATATTAAAATATTCCATGGGTAGTGAGTGCTGAGGTTACACATTTAGAACCATTGAATAAGTTTGATATTGTAGATGTTTTGCAATTTGATTTTAATGTAGAAAACATTTCTAATAAGTAACAGGAAAATGTTTCCATTTTTGTTTAGTAGAAAAAAAAAATAATTCATGGTTTTAAAAATTTGACATCGAGTCAAGTGTCAGATTTATTTCTGCTTTTCATCCTGTGGTGACATATTTGGTTCGTGTCTTGCTAATGTTCAGCCATTTATTTATTTTTTTAATTTTTTTACTATTAATATTTCATTCATCTTAGTTGCTTTTTATTACATCTCAGTTCATAATTCTATGGTAGCAAGCAGTACAGATTGGAAATAATAAGCCTTCAGTTTGATTCATACTGTGCATCTCGTGTAAGAAGTTAATACATATGCAAGTGCATATAAATAAAAAGATGACAGTATATGGGGTGGGGATTATGAAGAATAGCTTTGTGATTAGGTTTTATTACAGTCTATGGTCTCTGTAACCTATTGGTAATACAGCTGTTGTTATACTATTGAGGATAAGAGATGTGATTTTTATCTTGTACGCTTATTCATTATTTCCACTCTGTTCTACTTATCTGCTAGTTGTGATTAAAAAGCAACTGAGATTAAGATGAGTGAAATAATAGAAAAAGAAAAAAAAGAAACAATGTTTTATGTAAGAAACTAAAAATTATGTACAGTTAAATGTGACAGTTGGGCTGTTCGAAAGTAGATGATCCATGTTTATATTAATTGATCATTATGACAAAATCATCAAAAGATTGACATTTTTTTCTTTTAGGATTGGCGTCCACGCTGGGGCTACAAAAGAGCAAATGATGACACAAAAGACTGGTGCATTGAGGTTCCTGCAAATGCTGGTAGCAAATTTGATTCTTTCTTTTTATCTTTTGGTTCAGCAAAATGTTTACAACAATATGATTTCATGCTTAAGCATTTTGCAATAAATTCTGAATTATACAAACCATAAAGCTTTTTTATTAAGATAATTGTTTATATGGATTTTTTTCATCTAAGAACAGTAAATATTTTGCTATTTGTTAAGCTTATTTTTATTCATTGTAAATATATTCATATATAAAGTTCTTTATAATAGTAGGCTTTTATTTGTTTTATTGTTGCATTTGTGTTAACGTTTACAAGTAAATTTTCACCTTATCTCCCCCTGACATCCCATAATATGCGAATTCTCTAATGATGAATGATTATCTCCCTTTATGTTCTTATGCGTATTTCTGTTCTTTCAGATCCATATGAAGACCAGTTTGCTAAGAGAAAAACAGCCAAGAAGGAACGCATAGCGAAGAATGAATTGAAGAGGCTACGCAATATTGCCAGAGCTCAAAAGCTGAAAGGTTTGTTTTGTAAAATACTTGAATTTTATAGTTAATTCAAAAGTTTAAAATTTTGAATATTTTAAATTATATTTCTTTTTTATCCTACAAAGAAATCTTGTGATGAGTATAGAAATTTTTAAATAACCAAATATTTTGTTTTGGAAGTAAATTTAAAAAAAAAATCTCATTAAATACAATTTGAGTATACTTTTGCAACATGTGACAATTTGGACAATATTTTATATAAAACAAGTTTATGGAATTTTTTTTTTTTTTTTTTTTTTTTGTAAACTTATTTATTAAAAGGAAACTCTTTTCATTTTGTTTTTTGTTTTTCTCTCTCAAAAAAATCTTTAAATTTTTAACATTTGAGTTTCTTTAGTATCATAAGGCAAAAAAGATAAAATACCCCCTTAGGTAAAAGTAAATATGATTTAACAAAATCATTTAGTTGCAAGTAGAAATGCTATAAAATTTCAAGCTTGAATTGCAAACTGAATTTCATGAGTGGCAGAAGATTCTTTACCATTTGTCAGAATCAAATCTTTTCTAATACAAGTTTGCTCATGTAGACTGTTCAGTGATCAGACACTTTCTCTGAGAAAACAGAACCTTTAAGTGTCTCTAAGAGTTTAAAAAAAAAAAAAAAAAAAAATTGCAACTTGTTTTACAATATTTATGCCAGGTCTATCGGTGGTAGACCTGTCTGCAACTTGCGTTTTGCAGATGATATTGGCTTGTATCTTGACTTGGCAGTAACTGTGAGCTGCAAGTTCTGGCCAACATTGAAAGAACTGCCACATATGGAATGGAACATAGTATAGAGAAATCCAAATTAATGGTGAATAGCACAAGCAACACCAGTGCCAGTGTCACCATGGACTGCGAACCACTGGAGGAAGTGTCCAGTTTCAAATACATGGGAGCAGCCCTATCAAAAATGAAACCAGCAATGCAGAAATCCACACGCAGACTGTCACAGCCACAGTAATAATGGCTAGACTGGGAAGGATATGGAATAGTAATATCAGCTTCCATACTAAGTTCAAGCTCTACAAATAACTCCTTTATGGGTATGAGACTTGGATACTCCTTGTTGAGGCAGAAAAAAAAAGGATCCAGGCACTCGTGAACAAATTCTTGATAAAGCTCCTCTGCATCTCCTGCTGGGGGCACAAAACCAATGACTTTGTATGTAGCAAGGTCAGAAGTCTTCTGGGCCAACAGAAATCTATTGCCACTATCAAGTGTTGGAAGACGTCATGGTTTGGTCATGTCACAAGGTATAACAGCCTGTGCAAGGTATTGTTGAAGACAGATGCAAGCGAGTACTGCAACGCAAAAGCTGGTCAGACAACATGAAAGAGTAGACAGACCTGACATGGAGGTTGTCTCCTCCTCCTGCATTTATGTACTCCTCACCAAATGATTGAAGCAGTCAAGGGACTGATGATTTATGATTTGTAAATTATTATTTTTTTTTTTTTTTTATTTATGTAAATAAATAAGAATCTAAAAAAATACTTATTTGTGAAATTGTGTATTGAAGTTGTTTTTCTTTTTTATTTCCAGTGTCTGAGCTGAATCATACACCAAAGCTAAAAGAATCTCGTGAAGATGTCAATAGAAAAATAGCAGTGGCCAAGTTGTCTACAGCATCGGTTGGAAAATTCACAGAAACTTTAGCAAAAGAAAAAGTAGCTAAAAATGTTGGCTGTAAAAGAAAAGTAAGCTGCTTTTATTAAAGTGTTGTTACTTTCTTCAAAAACAACTCTTCAATCTGATTTGTATAGATTGGAGTCACCTTAATTTTTATCTGAATTCTTTAATTTAACTATAGTCATAGTCTAGGCTATTTTGTCTCTAAAGTGATTTTTTTTTTTTGTGTGTGTATGTGTGTATATATATATATATATATATATATATATATATATATATATATATATATATATATATATGAATGAGTGAGAGATTGGTATGCAGGCTCAGTATTGTTCTCACTTTATTGGAACTGCTTTGATGACGTCTGGAGATTAAGTTCTATTTTACAAAATGATATGTTCTGTATTTGAAAGGACTGATCAAGTTAGGTCTAATTGGGAAAGTAAATTGTAATTGTCCTTTATGTTAATTTTTATTTGACTTTTGTCTAGTGACATTAACAAATACAATTAACAGAACATCTCTTCGCAAGCTGAATATTTTTTTTTTTTTTTTTTTTTTTTTTTTTTCAATTTAAGCCTTTATTTGTTATAATTTGTAAGACTTTCTTCTAAATTCTGTTATTTACATTTTTTGCTTCATCTCATTCAAGACTAAAAAAAAAAAAAAAATTTTTTTTCTTTTCCCTTTTTCTCCTTCCAGTTTGCACCCAACCATGGTGATATCAAGGTTGAAACTTCCCATCAATTGAATTTGCTGGGGAAACTTGGCAAAAAGGAAGTGTTGGATGTAACAAAGGCTGCCAACATGAAGTTACATGAAGAAGAAATGTCCAGGTTATTATTTGACTATTATATATTGGGGGGAGAGGGTTCTTTATTTAAAGAACTTATTTTTACAATAGTCAAAAAGTAATTCTTATTATTCTTTACTTAAATCTGATTTAATTGTAGAAGCATACAGCATACCAAAATGAAGACAAAAAATTTCAGGACTCCAAATCAAGTTCTCAACATAATCTCTCAACATAATCTCCTTCCTTCTTACGACAATCCACCTTTGAATGAGAGCATATACATATGTCTTGTAGAAACATTTTGGCTGCTTTCTTAGTCTTGTGGGTCTTGCCCATCATTGGAGAATGAATAACCTCTTAGTGCCTCCTTCATATGCCCAAACAGATGAAAGTCTGAGGGACAGATTAGGGGTGTAGAGTGGATGCGGCAAGGTAATCAAGTCATGCACTGTGTTTGCTCATTTGGTCTTTAAGCTGTTGTTATGCATTGTGATGTTGCAAAAGCACATCATTCATTTTCAAATATGGTCTAGCTTGAAGATTGCTTGCATAGAACTTTGAAATTGTTCTCAGATAAATCAGAATTGATAGTGGCATGATTGGATGTAAGCACTAGCCCTCTTGTTCTCTGTAGAGTGTGCTGCTTTAGACTTCTTTCTGGTTAAGTCTGGGTGGCAGCCTTTTGCTCTCTGGTTCATAGTATTTCAGGTCTAATCTCTTGTGGCTATCCTGCTTAGGAAAGTGCTATTCATGATGAGTATTTGTTCTTGAGCAGTAATCACCTCCTGCTCCTTTATGGAGTTTTGTTACTATTCTGGGTTTCCATTTCATAGTTTTCAAATAATGATTCTTCTGTGTGCTGAAATGGGAACATTATTCTGTTTTACTGTATTTTTATTCACAGCATCAGGCCTACCACTGTGGAGCCTGTCGCTGAGGTAACTTTTGCTCTTGAATTGTCATGAATTTCACAGACTCATCTCCTTACTGTGCTTACATCAAGTTCAGACTTTTGCATAAATGTTCATTACCATAAATATCTGCAGCACATTCTTGTTCCACAAAACAGAAATTCTCTGACAATGTTTTGGTTTTTACATGCTTCCAGAAAGGCAAACATTTTGAATGAGGATTAGGAGTAGAAAAAGAAGATAATTTTATTAATTTCCCTCATTGTTTGTCTAGATATTTTATGGTTCATAGCTTAAAAAAACCCAAAAAAAAAAACAAACATCAAATTCAACTAATACGTTTAAAATTAAAATACACTTTTCTTTTATCTTTTTTACTGACCCTGTATTTTCTGTATATAAAATCTTTGAAAATGATTTAGTTTATTAAAACACTATTTCAAAGTAGTCTCACATGACAGTTACTACTGTAGTAAGTTTGATTTTCATTTACGCTAAACTTAAATACTTATAAATATTTAATGCATTATTCATTGTTAATTATTCTTGAGATAATTTCCTTGTTTGTCTGGTGATAATGGTTATCATTTATCAAACTCTAGGCCATCAGTGTTTAAATTTGGTGATTTTTAAATAGAAAAAAATGTATTCTAACAAAAAATGTCTAACATTGATTAGGTATATGCAATTTATTTTGTGTGTGTGTACAAATATCGATTTTTTTTTTTTTTTTTTTTTTTTCTATTTACATTTTACAAATACTTTTACAAATGAAATGAAAATTTAATTCAAATCTGACTCTTTAAACTTCACCATTCATGTTTGAATGACAGAAGTTACTATCCAGCATTTTATGTAACTTTTATACATTGAGAAACTATATAATGATTTCTTGTTAAAATATATTCCTAAGATTTGTCAAAACATATTGAAATAGCAGAATTATTCACGACTGGTGAAATGTTCATATTGTTTAATGCTATAAAAATATTACAATTGCACATGTTTAATAAGTGCTAATTTAAAAAAAAAAAATTAAATTTAAAAAGAAAAATTTAATTTAAAGGAAAATTATTACTTCTAATCTTTAACAAATACAAAACTTTCTTAATATTAAAAATAATAGCTGTACTTAGAAGCTTGGCAATTCTTTCTTGTTTTTTATTTTTTGTATGCGTTTTTCTTTATATATTATTTACACTATATTCGGAGTATTGTCCTCATCTTTGTTGTTATTGTAATGTTTCGGTTGTTGTGCTCTCTGACCTTTATCAGGTTCTTGTTGATCTGGATAACGTTAAATAAAGGATTCGGTTCAAAATTCTCTTAATCTAACAGGTGAGGTAGACTTCTCAATTTTTTTTTTTTTTTTTTTTATAGAGCCAAGAAGAAAAAAGAAGATCCACAAATTATGAAAAAGGGCAAAAATAAATTTGGCAAAGGAGGCAAAAAATTCATTATGGGAGGAAAAGGACTCAAATCTGACAAAAAGGGTAAAATTGGTAAAATCGGTAAAATTGGTAAAAAAGGGAAAATTGGTAAAAAAGGGAAACGGTAAACATTTATTCTTTTTGTAAATAAAGGGTTGGGCAAATTAGGGAAGAGAATAAAATAACTAAAAACAAACCAATTATTTTCTGTCTTTTGTCAAATATAATTGTTTATCCATTTTCTATCTGTTATTTCTTAAAGCCAAAATGTAAAACAAAAATCAGACTTTTATTTGTTTGAATCGGATAAGAAGTGCTGTATTTTTCTATTTTTCTATTTCCATTTCTCTATTTCTCTTTGTTTCCACAATTGAACTCCTTCTTTTTTTTGTTGATCCCACAAGTGTTCAAAAATCTCTTTGAATGAGATAACTTAAATATCTAGACAATAATAGCTACAGGGTGCGATGGGTAAATTGTCGCTATTTTATATTTTTAATTTTGTGCTTTGGCATTGTTTGTTTTTTATTTTGTCGGCTGCACAATATAGTAGGCTCAGTTGGGCACCATCTGTGAGAAAAAGAGCACCATGATGAAATTCACTCTACTAGAAATTTGGAAACAGCATGCTACTGCTTGGCATTTGTGCCAGAAACTCCAATATGAACATTTCAGTGTTTGGGTGTCAATCTGAGGACAGTGCAGAGGATTCAGAAAGAGCTGGATGAGTCTAATGGTAATTATGAAGTTGTTTGGAGTGATCACTAGTGATGGCAACCTTATGCCTTTATTCATCTTCCCACAGGGCCTCTGACTCAACATGGAGGCTTACATCAAGTGCCTTAAGCAGTTAGTACTGTTCTGGGTCAAGAGGGTGGCTGCTGGAAGATCCTATGTCTGGCAGCAGAACTCTGCAACATGCCACACAAGCAAGAGAAGCCAGTCATGGCTGTCAGACAATTTCTGTGAACACATCACTCCTTACATCTGGTCACCTAACTCCCCAGACTGCAAACCCCTTGATTATTATGTGTTTGTGGTGCAGTTGAGCGAAAGACCTTAATACTCCTTGTAATACCAAAGATGAACTGAAGGCAATGATCATGGCAGTATTCACCAACTTAAACAAGGAGACTGTCCAGATGTTTTGCAGAAGATTCCAAGCCAATGGCAATTTTTTTTTTTTTTTTTTTTTTTTATTGAATAAAATTACTCTTTAGCATTTAAAGATATTTTTGTGTAATTTTGGTAAATATATCTGTTAAAATGAGATGTTAGTGTTATTTTTAAGTGTTGGATAATTAAAACAATTTATCCATCGCAACCTGTATTTTATTTGCAAGAAGCACCTTCATGAGTGTGTTGCAGACATCTCCTATTCCTTCTGCTTGTGTATCTAAACTGTAATTACAAACTTCAATTTTATTAAGAGAAAATTTCACTTAAATATTTTAGTTTTCATCTGTAAAAAAACAAAAGCAAAATAGTCCCACTATATGGTGGGGGTGTCAGTTTAAACTGACACCAAGATGATATAACACTTGAGTATTCTTTGAATATATATATATATATATATATAAGTTCATATCACTTGCTAAAAACAATAAGGCTTGAAAATTAGCTTGATAATATTTAGGAGCAATTGGTAGGTGTATTTCCTCTCCCACCTTCTTTCTAGATCAGTCATGGGAAAACTGTATCCCGCAGGCCACATGTAGCCTGTTAGGTCTTTCAGAATGAAGTGCTTAATTTCATAACAAAAGTAACGTTTCTTAAAATTTTATTTCATTTCCTTCTTGCTTGTTCACTCACACACTCTCTCATAGATAAATGATGATTAAGTGTGATGATTCTTGAATTTTGTAAACTTTCAGGGAAAATAATGCCTGTGTTTTAAACCATTGGCTAATTTTCACTAAGGAAGATCATTCATATAAATATCTTTTGCTTTTGAAACTGGAAACATTCATAAGAATTTTTTTTCTCTAATGAATTTTTCATTTTCAAATGAATAAATTAAAAATAAATCCCAGGCAGTGATATGTGATAATCACTCTGTCATCAGTGATAATGATTATACCAAGACTTCATTTTTTTTTTTTTTTTTTTTTTTTTTTTCAATTATAAAAGAATCTTTTCTAAAATATAAAAATTTTCCTACCATTTTTAAGGTATATGCTTACATATATATTTTATAGTGAAAGTAGCTGAGGTACTACTATGAAAAATTAATTTGAATCTTTTTAGTGGTGTGGCTCAGCTGGTGATGAGCCATAGATTATGTGTTCTACTGCTTGATGAAGGTTGCCCATGCCTGCTCTTAATAAAGCAATAGCAAAAATGAAGTCTGGTATTAGATTTTAGCTAATGTAAGTAGGGTAGAGGAAGTTCACAATTCAAATTTGAATATTAATTATACGAAAAAAAAATGTTTTCCTGAACATAAATTTGACAAATACAGAAAAAAAGTAACACAAGTTTTGGATACATTCTGAAGATATAGATAAAAATGTAGTTTAGGATTGAATTTTATTCCAATTTGTAACCTTTAGCACTCTGCATAATTAATATTACTCCCCTTCCCACTGCCTTCTTTTTCAAGACCTCTCAATTGCAGTAACCTTATTGTTAATTTTACTCAAAGGTGTTTTCTGTTGCCACAGCAGAATATGACAACACAACTATGAAATTCAGACAAATTAAAATTCCAGAATCAGTCACCTTTGGTGACGAGATAAACTTTTTGAACATCAAATGAAATCACATACAGTGATAAAGCTTAATTTGCAAATTTTTACAAGTGACTGATAACTTCCAACTTAACTGTTCATGTACTTTGAACATCTGGCTGGCTTGTGTAATGGTTTTCAAAATGGTGAATACAAAGGAATTCAAAAATTTTGTTGGGTGGTAATTGGCCATCATAGTTGTCAATTGGGATATCTAAAGGTTTTCATCAATACAATAGAGCCATCTGTTCAAAAATGGAAGGAACACTACCTGACTTGATTGGCTTCAAAAACAATCGATATCCTCATAAAGGCAGATGAGCAACTATTGATAAGAAATGTGCAAACCATGAGAAAAATCAGGTGACCACAACTTCAATGTAAGGATTTCAGTGAACAAGATATATCGTTTAATATCAAACCATCTACCTGGGGGGAAAATCACCTTTAATGAGAGAAATCAATCTGCAGTGGACTGTTGTCATATAAGAACACCTTGGCTAATCACAGAGAGGCCAAGAGAACAAATAACAGGAGGGCACCACTTCATCAACACCATTGGTACAGGCTGGTATATGCAACACCTGTAGTCACATTTGTCTCACACAGCTTTCTTTAATTAGACTATTGTTCAGCCAATACAAGGTTCAAGAGCTACTCAAGGTAGAGGGTGTAGGATAATAGTTGTGGATCAACAATTATCTATTCTACAGATGAGACATTGAATGTTGCTGCCATATCTAGACTGGAGCTACACAATCTTAAGAGAATTCAAGTGTTTACATGACCTTGTAGGTGATTAATTATTTTCCACTCTACAACCCCTTTCCCATAGATGAAATGCTGTTAGCCTCTCACTATTTTCATGTCAGATGTTCAAACTGTATTTTTTAATTCTCAGCTAGGACCTTCCATGCCACATACACATGGTCAAATCATCCTTGTTCCCTCTGTATTCTTTTGATATGGAGGAAATTCCACTTGGACACCTTTCCTTAGAATTATAACTTTGTGGAACAGATTCCTGAAAGGATATTTCCCCAATTGCTACATCATTTAGTTATGTCACTATTAGATTTTCAATTTTATCGACAGAATCTCTATTACTTACTAAGATTTTTAACTTTAGTAATCTATCCTGATTTCATACATTTGATCTCTCATAGAAGTATGAATTTTACCCATAAAGCAATCAGAACTTAGCGTTGTGTGGGGATCAGAATGGTTGTTAGGACGGAAAGTAAATCAGCAAGTTAAGTTCAAATTCCTTCCTAGTCAGTTGGGCTCACTTTTACAAAAGTGCACTTGGGAAAGGTATTAATCTGTCTCTACCCAGCCAGCTATGGGTTGAATAATAGAGTAAACTTGGCTCTCTAGCCATGTGTGGAAACCAGTCTAGGAGAAGAACAACTCTGAATTTGAAAACTTTGGATAAGACAATAGGAAACACTACACTATATTTCCTAAGAAGTTCTTGTAATTCACAGATAATAATAACAAAAAAAAATAGGCAATCATGACTTTCCACAATTTCTGTCTTAAGAGATACATCATTAAAAAAAAAATCAATACTTAGACTTCTTGAAATTCTTATAAGAATAAATTTGAGCATTCATCTTGCTCAAAATGTATTAAAGTAACTTCATGAGTATTTATACTGGGTTTACATTGCAGCAAAAATGGTTTAATCTTAATACAAAAAATAGTTTCAGAATTCTCTCTCTTGTTTAGAAATTTTAACAACTATCCACTCATTTATTTTTGTTTTCCTCCATTTGAAGCAAGCAATAAATTTCTCATAACTTTCATAATTCATCTTTTCTGTTTTATATCATGCAAGTTTAATGATAACACTTAAAAATTTCAAGTTATTCTAATACCTGTGTGTGTGTGTGTATTATTTTAATATATTTTTTCTTGTGTCATGTGTTTAGTAGAGCACCCTTGGCTTACCATCTAAAAATGCTTTAGTCTAAATGGCCTTCCTCCTCTACACAAATAATGGCTGCCAGGTCTAAATGTAATTTATACTCCTCACTTTCTAGAAGTGTGTGTAATATATATTTTTTCTTTGTGTTCATGTCTGTTTTGTCCTTGAGAGTCTGAAGAGTGAGGATCAATAACTGATCAGTCCTTTTTTGGGGTTTCTTTTTTTTTCTCTCTTGAAATAATAAACTTGTAGAAGAATTGATAATAGAATATTTTTATTTGTGAATGCATAAAATACTTTGTAGATATTCAATTCAATGTTCATTGTAAAATCCAGCATTAATTATAAAAATTAAAATAAAAAAAATATGTTGTATTAATTATATGTTTCTATCTAGCTCATTA